AAGGAAGCTCCAGCAAAGCTGTGGCCTACAAAGATGGAACAGAGGAGAAATTGGTCACTGAAAAGTCTAGCAAGAAAAAGCCAAGCATTTCAGAAGAAGGCAACAGAAAAGATGGCCCGAGGACATCACAAGAACCAGCAGGATTCGGCCTCTGTGCCTTAAGAGTTGTAAAGGGGAAACGCCGGCGAGATAGCTCAGCGGACGAGGGTGGAGGCACGTGCCTATAATCTGCATAGTGAGACCCTGTAGGTCCTGTACCGGATACATTTTTAAAAAAAGAAAGAAAAGAAGAAAGAAAGAAAAAAAAAAGGCTTTGCATGGAGAAGAATGCTCCCAAGCCCCACGTTCCAGAAAGCGGCAGCCTGCAGAATCTATTCCTTGGGATTGCACTCAGGGCGCACAGGGTCCAGGCACTCGACCCCTACCGCCAGGAGAGGAAGACTGGCTGCTGCACCAGCAGCAGGACTGAAACTGTTAGGACACTGGCAACTCCTAGAGATGGACTAAATACCTCTTGCAGAAAGACATGCCTGTGAGTCAGCGGTGGAACAGGGGGTCGGGGTAGAATATGATGGCCGTGTCCAGATGTTCCCCAAAACCTCACGCAATCACATCACAGGAGGCTTTTTCAGCGGAGGTTGGATCTAGAACATGTGACTGATTCCTGGTGCAATTAGATAGGATTAAGGGTGCTAGGCTTAAGGGTGGGTGATTACTAAATCAGTCCACTGACTGGTTTGTACTACCCTAATCCCAGTAGCCTAGATAGAATACAAAAGGGGCAGAGAAAAGCTGCTAAGGCCACTTAATTTACTACTTTCCACCCACCATGAACTGATTCTCCTCTACCAGGCTCCTGTGCCTGGCCACCCTACTTTGGAGCCAGCCGACTACGGACTAAAACCGCGATGAACTGTGGTCCAAACAAACCTTTCCTCTCTTAACTCTGGGTGTCAGGTATTTTGTCTCAACAAGAAAAGTAACTGAGACAAGTACTTCACTGTCTTTTTTACTAATGTGCAGGTAAAAAAAGACTCAAAACTCAATAGGTACACAACTTTCAAGATAATTTTCCCTGCAACAATAAATTAGTAGTTACAGAGTGCTAAGTGCCAAGAACTGTCCTCAATGTTCACGCAGAACCTCATTTAATCCAGTTCAAGTTTCTGAGGTGCTCGTGCTATTCCTATCACACAGCTTAGTACGTGAACGCACAAAAAGACTAAGTCCCTTGCCCAGGTACACTAATATCCGCCCCACCTGCGTACCGGTTCAGTCTGGACTTCTGCTACTGCAGCACATGCTGCTGGACTTTTGTTCAATCCAGGTGGCACGTTCCTCTGCACAGCACCAACCACACAGTTCAAAGTTTCACGCCCCCATTTATTGGGTGCAAGGACAATCCTCCTAGGAGACATGTTCCCATTTATAACCATCAGACCACAGCTCTGGCTACAAGATAAGGCACACTACAAAAAGAGACAGCTTAGGGAGGCACTGCACCCTTCTGCCTGTAGCAGACGTTACTGGATGGCTCACCCAATATCCTTTCCTATTCCCTTCTCCTTGCCTGCCTGAGAAAGCTAAATACTTATTTTCTTCAGCTTCCTGGCCAGGCACACAATTTTGGAAAACTGAAGGTGTTACAACATAGATTCTAACACCAGGAATTCACCAGGCTTGCGAGCCAGAATACCTGGATCACAGCCACTTCAGCTGCACACATCTGCCGCTTTATGTAACTTCTGTTCCTTAAGGTGAGGACATAGCCAATGTTTAACTGCGAGAAATGAAAAGCTAATAAATGTAAAGAACCCTCAGGTACTCGACATATGCTAGATACACTATAAATGTTAGCAACTGCTATCTCTGATCATCTGTCAGGGCCCTCGGGGACCACTTTCAAGATACATGAAGAACAAGCAGCAAGGTACAGAACCACCATGTAGTGTGCCCCAAAACTGGGAAAATCTGTACCATTTAGGTCTTACTTCTCCATTACATCACACTTCTTATTGGATTAGATTTTGGAAAGTATGTACCTGAATTCCTTAATGATTTTAAAATTACGTTTGTCTATCAAAAAAAAAAAGTTTATTTTAAAACACTACAGGGGCTGGGGAGATAGCTCAGTAGAATAAGCGCTTGCCTGGCAAGCACAGGTTCCTGAGTTCAATCCCTGGTACTGCAAAACAAATAAATAAATAAATTTGGGGCTGGAGAGTAGAATAAGTGCTTGCCTGACAGGCGCAAGGGCCTGAGTTCAATTCTCAGTTCTGAAAAAAAGAAAAAAACAAAAAACTACAAAAGGGGCCAGGAAGACAGTTCAGTGGCATAAGTGCCTGCTTAGTAAGCACAAGGTCCTAAGTTTGGTCCCTAGTACCAAAAAAATTTAATTAATAAACACTACAAAAATGAGTGTGGTGACACATATCTGCAATCCTCGGATTCTGGAAGCTGAGGCAGGCCTATCCACAAGTTCAAGCCCAGCCTGGGGAATTTAGTGAAACACTGTCTCAACATGAAAAATGTAAGAAGGGCTGGTTACTGGGTGTGGTAGTACAGGCTTGTAATCTCAGTACTGGGGATAAGGCAGGAGGATCTTGAGAGTTCGAGGCCAACCTGAACTATGTGACAAGATCCTATGTCAAAAAATGAACTCCGGGGGGAATACCCGCTCAGGCTCCCCTCCTGTCCCTCTCTCAGGAGCTTTTTTTTCCCTCAATAAATATGTTCTGTTCATAAAAAAAAAAAAAGAGCTAACTCAATTAATTAACCAATCAAGAAACTAAAAGGGCTGGGGAAACAATAGCTCAGTGCAAAGGTCCTGAATTGAACTGCCAGTACTAGATAAAAGAAAAGGTTAAAAAAAATAATAATAAAACCTCTCCTTTTTAATGTTAATTTTTTAAATTAATTAATTAATTTTGTATTGGGTCTCACTACACCACTCAGGCTTCTAATAATCTTCCTGTTTTCAGCCTCCCCAACCCTGGGATTACGGGTATGTGCCACCATGCCCGAATCAGTGTGCCTGGGGGTGAGGCTGGCGCAGTATGCGGTACTGGGAATTGAACCCTAGCCCCTGTACTTGCCTAAGCAGGCACTTAGTCTGCTAAGCAATCTCACCAGCCCAATATAGTCAACTTGCCAGAAGTGGCAAGCTTCCTTTTAGAGAGAGGCATTCAAATACGAGCTGGGTGAGAATCTGCTAGACTCGTCCTGAAAGATGTTGATAGTCAGCCAACACAGTACCTAAGTGCTAATTCTCCGTCCTAATAGTGTAGGACAATTTTTTTTTTTTTTTCCCAGAACCTGGGATTGAACTCGGGCCCTTGTGCTTGGCAGGGAAGCACTGGTTCCACTGAGCCACCTCCCTAGCCCCTAAGTGCTAATTCTAAGATCCCTATTTTTGGCAGAACAAAAGAAAAAAGGACCTGGGAGAGTCGCCTGTATGCGACCAAGAACTGTGATGACTGCCCTGCTGGTGTCAGACAGAACACATGGCCGCTGTGCTCTAAAAAACGAGGCCATCTCATCCCTCTAGGACAGAGGTCAGGAACACAAGCTAGGGAGGCAGACAGACAGTGGGACTCCCAGAGCAGCCACTTCTTCACCACATGAACTGAATCAAGCCAGCTAATATCTTTGGAGTTTTCTCATTTTTAACACGGAGGTAACATGCAGACCTTAAGTTAGTGCAAGACACACGCAAGCCAATGAGTTGAATGCCTGCAGCGCGGTACATGGCACGCAGCGAAGTGCCCAAGCAATGACAGCGACCATCACTGCAGCGGAATGACCACCTTCAAACCCTTGCTCCATGTGTCAATCTTTTAATTAACAACACAAAAAAATGACAAACTGTAGAGGGATTTTAAGCTAAACAAGCTCAAGTGACATCAGGTCCACAAGGCTCATGCTAGGTGCTAACCTGCTCTGCCTTACTCACAGCAGATGGGGGGTTCGGGGGCGATCTTCTCAGCCCCTCACATCTCAGTCCTCCTTCTATACAAGACGTCAGAGAGAACCAGATCAGCCAACTTGTGCAGCCAGCTAGAGGGAAAGGTAGGAAAAGCCCTGGCCGTCTTCTGTGAGCCCCTCCTAAGGGTATGTGGCTGGACTCAAGTGCAGATATTTTGGTCTGCACTGACAGATTCTGATAAACTCGGGGTGAGTTCAATGGTTCTAGACTGGCGTGAGTGCTCACAAGTGCGTCACCTTCAGGGACATACAACAAACCCCTTAGGCAAGGAGTGGCCGGCTGACTAGCAGCGCTATAGGGGAGACCCCAGCCTAGAACTTCACATATGCAAAGTCTAGGATGCTAGGGACCCATCTTTTGGTGAAAGCCACAAGTAAAAACCTCTTACTAATCACCTTAGGATGGCTAAAGTCATTCTGGGAGGGTAAGAAACACTAACTATCCTCCCTCAAGTTTTGTAGCCACAGAAATTGGAGTCTGACGCCACAATTTTCCCAAGAATAATGAGCACCTGCCATCTGCTGCAACTGTGGTGGCCACTGGCAGTTTTATCATCAACAGCAGCAGGAGGAGGAGAGTGGGGATTTGGCTGTGTGAGCGCACACGCTGGTGGTGCTGACAGCTGTGAGCAGCACGCCAGCCACGTGACGCCCATGTGGGCAAGCACCGCTGCCCCGCAGGTCCACTGGAGGCAGGCTCTGGCCATCTGCGGGAGCAGGGGCTGGGTGCTGGGCGCAGATAATGATACAGCGGGGCTGACTGCCAACAGATAAGGTGCTAGCCCAGCAGGACACGAACGCGATTCCTCCACATGTTCTCCTCATAAATTCTTTTTTAAAAATGTATTTCAGTATAGGATCTATAGGGTCTCACTACACAGATCAGACTTGTGGTGATCCTCCTGTTTCTCACCCTCCAAGTGCTGGGATTACAGGCACAGGCCATCATGCCCAGTCTCAATTGTCATCTTAGCATATTCCGGGGGCGCGGCTGCACGGCAGGCCAGGGATAGAACCCTCAACTCCTGCATCTGCCTACGCAGGTGCTTTCTGACTGGATAGCCACTGAGCTATCTGGCTGGCCCGCTCCTCACAAATTAAGACCCTAGAGCCTTAAAGAATTGAAAACTTCTAAATTAAAAAGGAAAAAAAGGTGGAAATTGTGAAAGATATAAGATCTCTCTTAGATGCTGACCACTCCCTTTGTCCCCAAGTTCAGCTTTTAGAACTCAAGCAAATTCAAGATTTGTGGCAGTCACTAGACTTGCGTCAGAGGCAGAAACTTCTGGTAGTAGCTCTTGGTGACATCGATCATCAGCTCCTGGGTACATTCAGGGAGCTCCCCCGAGAACAGTCCTGCAGACAAAAGAAACCTGGTCACAAAGGCAGTCAGGGAAGAGCACAGCTCTGACTGCTGTTCAAGCAGCTAGAGATCCTCACTTCTACCTAGCTGTGAGGTTTCCCATCTTCAGGACTAACACAGATTATCTGCCAGATGACAGGAATCTGTGACAAGGTCTGGAGAGGAACAAATATTAACAGTTCCCCAAATGAAGAAACATACTCCAGGTAAAAGTCAGAGCCAGGGGTGGTGGTACTGTAGAAGGCCATGGCCAGAGCATCACAAATTCAGTTCTAGCCTGGGCAACTGAGACCCTGTAGCAAAATTAAAAATACTTCTTGACCCTATAGACCCTGCCCTAAAACACAAAAAACCCCAAACAAACAAAAAATTAAAAATAATAAAAGCACTGAGGATATAGCTCAGTGCAAAGGCCTTCAGTTTAATCCCCAGCACCAAAAAAAAAAAAAAAAAAAAATAAATAAATAAATAAATAAAAAATCAGGACATCCGAAGAGTAAACATCTCCTCCTGCATCAGAGGTTTCCAAGGACTTGTCCACCCCAAGATGTGATCCCCACTGAGCCAGCTTTATCTTTACCCTGGAGAGAAGAAGCTGCTGTGCTGTTTGTAAAATGAAACTAAACCCAATGCCCAACTTCCCTAGATAGATAAATCAAAGAAGAAAAACCAGAAAGGTCCTACAGAAAGACAACTCCCAAGGGAGAAAAGGGAAAAGCCAAAATATATGTAACTATCTCATACATATAAGACAATTTCTCTCAATTAATTGGGGAAAGGTTTGTACTAATACTGTCTAGACAAGTAAATGCCTCTCTCTTGTACTCTGAATAAAGACAACAATATGCAATGTATTAGTCATTATTACTCTATATTAAAAAAGAAAAGGGTCAGCCGGATAGCTCAGTGAACTGAAGCACCTGCTTAGAGCACAGGGACTGGGGTTCATCCCAGTGTGCCATGATGGCCCCACCCCCGGGGCACACTGAGAGGGTGATTGAGAGTGGGTGTGGTGGCACAGGCCTGCAATCCCAGCACTTGGGAGGCTGAAAGCAAGAGGATCACTATGAGTCCGATCTACGTAGTGAGACCCTGTACTAAATATATACATTAAGAAAGAAAAAGAGCTGGGCAGACAGCTTAGTGGAATAAGTGCTTGCCTGGCAAGCGCAAGGTCCTGAGTTTGATCTCTGACACCACCAAAAAAAAAAACAAAACCCTTTCAGGAAAGAGGCATTCTCAGGCATAGTGCATACTCATACAACTGCTCTGAAGGCCACTTTAGAAACTGCTAGCAAATCTTTCAGGTAATACTCTGTGGCCTGACAACTCAGCTTGCAAAAATGGCCAGGCAAGGTGGTGTACACCTGTAACTGCACACTCGGAAGGCTGAAGCAAGAGGGTTAACCTGGTCTATGTAGTGCGTTCAAAACCAGTCTGAACTACATAGCAAGACCCTGTCTGTAAGAACTCTAAAGACAGGCAGGGGTAGCTCGGTGGCACAGTGCCTGTCTGATGAGCATGAGGTCCCGAGTTTGATTTCTCTAAGCAACAACCCTACTCAACTGTTCAACATACGAACAAGAACGTCAATCCACGAAACTAAGTGCCCAATACTGAATAAATAGGTACGTACTGCTTGTAATACAACTTTGACTGCTAAATTCTTCACTTTCTGTAACCTGTCATATTTCTTTGGATATAAAGCATTTTGCGGGCTGGGGAGATAGCTCAGCAGAATAAGCACCTGCCTGGCAAGCACAGGGTCCTGAGTTCAATCCCTGGTACCACAAAAACAAAACAAAACCACAACAACAAAAAAAAGCATTCTGCTTAATATTGTGATCTTGTGTGTTTTGTCCCAGTTGAATAGTAATGTTTCAGTCCATCATCCAGATTTTTTCAAAGTTTAAAACTTTTTATATTTTAAAAAGTATTCTGCTTAATTCTGCTTTCTGTCCTACTCGCTCTTCTTCCTATTCTTCCTCTTCCTCCTCCTCTTTCTTCATCTCTTGTGGTTCTAGGGATTTAACCCAGGGACTGCACATGCTTGGCAAGGGCTCTGCTCTGAGTGACACCCTTAGCCAGTGGTGGCCAGCCTCCGGCATCAGTGCCACAGTGGGCTCTTTCTATCACCGAACATCATCCGGCTTTGACTGCTGAAATCATACAGCTGTGAAGACCTGCCTTCGTTTCTGTGACACTGCTTTTCAACTCTCTACTTAGTATCTTAAGTACAGTAGAAAAGATACCACGTCTTCCTTTGAGGTTGTTTTATAATATACATGAGGGCTGGAATTGTTTTTGAAAGAAAAGCGCTCGAGTATGACAATATACTATCTTTGCTTTCACCATTCAAAGTGCTGTTCAGTAGTTGAAACTTAAACTGTTTAAATAATGTCATTTAATAAAGTGACCAAAAGGTACAACTTTTACCAATCCATTATACTAGTGGACTGATTAGATACACCATGGTACATCTAAGCAGTGAAAAACCCATAAGCAGTAAAAGGAACAAGGTAGATCTCTACACAATGACAAGACACTCGAGGCATATCGTTAAACAGAGCCAATTTCGGAGCAATATAGAGAGTAGTATACAGATTGGGATTCCTTTTTTTCTAATACCAGAGATTGAATTCAGGACCTTGTGCCTGCCAGACAGGCTGAGCTATCTCCCAAGTCTCAGAGTGTGAGTCTAACAATAAACAGTGTCATATATCCATGCTATATGTGTATATAAATATACGCCAACATACCTAAGATTCATACACATATATAAAACACACATGTATGTACATAAAAACATAAATGATACAAAAGAGAGGTCTAAAAAATAACAAATTCTCATAGATACTGAAAATTAGTATCCCGTTTGATTTGCAAATATGTTTGGTCTATATAATATTTAATACTCTTTTATATCAGTAGAAACTGCTTAAGGTAAGAAATATCACACAGGGCCAAATAGCTCAGCGCATTACAGCGCCTGTGAGCAGGCGCAGGGCCAGGGTTCACGAGCATGCTAAGACAGCAATTGAGACTGTGTGTGGTGGCGTGAGCCTGTAATCCCAGCTCTTGGGAGGCTGTAAACATGCAGATCACTACAAGTCCGATCTAGTAGTGAGACCCTGAATACCCTGTAGACTCTTCTCTAAAGTACAAAAAGAAAAAAAAAAAATCACAGAAAAATCCCAATTTTTAGCTCCTCGTAAGACATCAGAGCATCTGGGGATGTCAGACTTATGTAAGGCAGCTGTGAAGGGTTACCACTTCACTCGTCTATGTTATCTGCCTGGCTCCCGGAGGCACCTGAGTTCCTGGGCCTGATCTAGAGCCTTCATTTTGTCCTGTAACTTCCTTTCATCCTTTGAAGTCCTCCAAGAACGCTAGTCTCCCTGTGACCTCTGCTTAACTGACACAAAAGAGAAACAGGTGTAAAAAATAACAAATTCTCATAGACACTGAAAATTAGTATCCTGTTTGATTTGCGAATATGTTTGGTCTATATAATATTTAATACTTTTACATCAGTAGAAACTGCTTAAGATAAGAAATATCACACAGGGCCAAATAGCTCAGCGCATTACAGTTTGAAAGGGGGAGATTGTCAACTGCATTTCCAGGGGGTTGGCATTTCTCTATGAAACTACATAAGAGAAACAATGGAAGCAGCCAGTCACAGTACAAAAAGAACTGGACTCTAAATAAGGGATCGCACGTGATGTCAAAGCCATCCCAATCAGCCCTCACTCTGGACAAGGCAACCTCTCCAAGTCTCTGTTTCCTCACGTACACGGTGGCTCATGCAGCCTGAATCCTCTTATTAGAACCTCCAAAGAGAGCACTACTACTAGCATCTGGAATACCCAGCAACACTTCCTTGCCTTGTGCTAACAATGTTCAATGACTCTAAGAAGCTGGTGCCAAGGAACTTCATACGCTAAAATAAGAGCAAAACTGCTCTGGCATTCTCCTCGCTTCAGGTCACAGGCCTGTCTGATCACACAGCACCTGGGCTGCTCCGACCCATCATTTGCTAAGAATGGCTAACCTTGTCACAGCGGGCTCTAACATGGGGAGGACACTACCCAAGAGTCTTGCTTTCTGCAGAAGCAGAGATCCATCTGGGGGATGGCAGATGGCAAACTGTCCCCCAGACGGTGAACGATGACTGCGCCGCGATGACATTTATACCCAATGAGCTGAGTAGGATTTTTAAATTGGAAACGCAGAGTAGAATCCATGTGCTTCCTATCTTTCTCTTCATACCATCTTGCAACTGTGAATCTGTGACGTGCTATGCACATGCTACGTAACTGCGACTGTGTAAGCCACTGGGGGGAAGCTGGACGTGAGGCGGCTCACACCCACAGGGCTGGCAGGCAGGAGGTGCAGGCAGGAGGATCACTGCAGTCCAAGGACAGTGTGAGCTATATGGTGAGATTCGGTCTCAAAACAAACAAATGAACAAAACACACACACACACACACACACACACACACACACACACACACGAGACTGTCCTGGGGTATGGGTGGGGAAGATTGTGAGGTCTTTTTCCACTTTTGTTGTTTTCTAAATTTTCTGGGATGAGCTCATACTGTTTTGTTTCCTCTCGTGTTTTTAATCTGTACTCTGAGATCACAGGGTTCAACCATGTAGAGGTCATGAGAATTTTCCTCTCTGCACTGCAAGGGCATTACTGGACTGAGGCCAATTTTTTTTTGTGTGTGTGGGGGGGTTGTATTTTAGGGAAGTGTCTACAGGGTCTCACTACTAGATCAGATTCACTGTAATCCGCCTATTTACAGCCTCCCAGGAGCTGGTATTACAGGAGGGCGCCACCACGCCCAGTCTCAATTGCTGTCTCAGTGCACCCCGGGGGGGGGGGCATGGCAGGCCCAGGGACTGCAACACTATCATCCTCGAAGTCCCTGCTTCCAGGGCTTTAATGCACTGAGCTATTTGTCTGACCCCTGAGGGCAGGTTTTCAGCTAACTTTTCAGCTTGGGAATTCCTGAGCCATTCAAGATTTTTACATTCAAACCTCCAACCAATGTGAGAGAAAGCACAAAGTAAAAAATTATCTAAACCGGGGCTGGTGAGATAGTTCAGCAGTCTAAAGTGCCTGCTTTGGCAAGCTTAGGGAAAGCGCAGGGACAGCGTTTGGATCTCTGGCACAACATGTTACGCCAGCACCACCCCCAGGGCACACTGGGCTGGCCACAAAAAAACCCCTAAAAGATCTTTTCCCATCAAGAGCCCAGACCAAGAGAAAAATGCTTCTTTGCATTTAACCCGTACAGTGGCAAATTTATTTTGCATTAACTTTTGATTGAGGGAAACTTTCAAGGGCATTTGGGGTGCTCCTGGCCCAGGGTTTCAGCTCCTGTTCCCATGTATCACATCCTAAGCTCTCTGTTATGAAGACAGCATTGACTCCCACAATCTTACACCTTACATTGTTGAGTTTCCTCTTTGTTTCTGACCTTGAGATAACTTTTTTTTAAAAAAAATGGAATGTCACTATATAGATCATGCTGGCCTCAAACTATCAATTCTATTACTTCAGCCTATCAAATGTTGGGATTATAGGTGTATGCCACCATGCTCAGTAATTTCCTTACAGTTTTATAAACCTTATACATTAAAACAAAACAAAACAACAACAAAAACCTGTCATATTTTAGATAGAATTTGTAGGTACTTTGTAGCTGAAGAATTTTTAAATTTACTACATCTTATTATCAGAGACAGTAATTGCATGCATTCCTTTTATGATGGAAAATAAAATTCTGAGGAGATTTAAATAAAAATAACAGCTAGGGGGCTGGGAAGATGGCTCAGTAGGATAAGCACTTGACTGGCAAATGCAAGGATCTGAGTTCAATCTCCGGTTCCGCCAAAAAAAATAAAATAAAATAAATAACAGCTAGGCATGAAGGCAATGCCTGTAACCCCAGCACTCCAGAGACTGAGGCAGGAGGACTGCTGTGAGCTCAAGGCCAGCCTGGGCTACAGGGTGAGACTCTTGTTTCAAAAGTAAATAAAATACAATAAAATAAAACACAATACTAGGTTACCTGGGCAGCCTGAGAAGACAGTGAATGGTGGTACCACAGTTTCTGGAGGCAGTACGGTATTGTCAAGAATTTTGCAGCAATCTTTCAGCACACATCGGCGCCCCTGAAATGAAAATCTTTTCAATAAAAAGTAGATCAGGAAACAGGAACAAAACTGTCTAGTCTGTTGTATAAAACACTGTATGCTTTCCGTTCCTGACATGTAATAGCCCCAGACAGTAACAAGAGTGTCAAGTCACGACCACTGTTCCAGATGATAAGAGGAGGAGGAGAAAGGGGCCAAAGGGAGCATTACATGCTGCACCCTGGGGAAGGCACACATGCTCGGGACAACACAGGTTATCTGAGGCATCAGAAACTATGCCAACTATGGTTTTCCAAGAGTTCTATACAACTGCATCTCTCATCGGATTTGCTCCCCTTTCTCCTGGAAAGAAAAGCTCTATCTTCCTTGGGAACCACTCCGATTTCCAACTCAGGCCACGTGCTTCACTCCCAGCTCACGAGCCAAACTCCAAGCCTGGCCACAGTGCCTGCTTTAGGGCGCTGGCATGTGAACCTCAAGCTCAGGACTTCTGCTGGGTCTACTGGGCACGGCAACGCTTTCTAGAGGGCCCATAAGCCTGGAACAGCCACTCTCTTTCCATGAAGGAAGAACTTCTTCAAAGTGAAGTGAACCTTTCAGAGGAAAGAGAGGGGAGAGGAAGACTGACCCTTACTGTATCAGCTGAGACCCTGGAGCCATCTGGGCATAGCGCCAGCATCCCTTCTGTATTCCTGGCTTACACGGCTAACACACTCAATTTGCACCTGCGAGTCCCAAGTCTCTGTTTACTCTTTCGTCAATTCCACCTAGAAGAGTCCTGACAAATTCATTTGTATATGAAGTTATTAGTTTGTTCTCCCCTAAGAAAGGGACAGTCACTTGAACGTTCAGCTGACTGGATGTTATACTTGATTTTACTTGCTGTTACTATTTTTCAGTCCTGCCACGATCCACAGCATTTTAAGAGCAAGATACAAGGTCATCTGTTTGATTCAAGAAAAAGAGGCTTGTATATACAGTCAAAAGCTGTGCTTGAGACTACTCACTAAGTTCTGGTCTTTATTAGCATGGAAGCGCCCCTGTGTTCTGGTTTAAAAAAAAAAAAAATTGATAAAATACACTTGGCCAACAAAGTGGACATTTACACAAATACCAGGATGATGCTACCCTACGCACAACTAGGATTCTACCGCTGACTGTAACAGATGCATGGACTTCACTGTGTTCAAATTCTTCACCATTATTAAGTATCTTAATCATAGCTATTTCCAGGGAAAGGCAAATTGACAAGGGAACTTTTAAAAAGGCTGGATCTTCAAGGTCTGAATTTCTCAAGTAGTTAAGTTGCCTCCACTGGATAAATAATAGGGCTGGCAATATTTGGCAACATCCTCAGCCCAGAAGCAAGTCTTAAGTATGGCTCTTTATTCCTCCTTTGAAAATTTTCTTCCACAAATTATCTGCTAGTAGATATCTCAAAGATACAGGAACTGGCCACTTTCCCCGGGAACCTCTAAGTTAACATTATTCAGGCTTTTGTGCCAACTCAGCATAAGCATAGAAAGCATGGAAGAAAGGAAACCAAGCACGCTGAAGAAGGCAGGATTCAGTCCAATGTTGTGATCAGTAGGCCGAGAGCCATGGGAAAAGAATGAGGGAAGGAATTTTTTCATGCAGCACCACCAGCCAGTAGACAGCCTGCAGAAAGACACCTGCTTTGTCCACTACTTGGTCACTGAGTCCACTTAGAGAAAAAATGGGTTTCAGAAGCATTCTGAGTAGACTGCTTAGCAGCAATATAAAAAATACATGTAGGCTTGGGGACACAGCTCAGTGGCACAGCGACTGCCTGGCAAGCGTAAGGTTTGCTTCAGTTCCCAACACCAAATAAACAAAAACACACATATGTGTCTTAAGCATAAATGGAGTGGTAGATGCTGAAGAGCCAAAATGCTAAAACTACTTCTTTAGTCTTCATAGAGAACTTTCCACGGAGGAATCAAGACCTGTATCCAGGTTGCTAGCATTATCTACGTAGTTACTTATACATCTTTAAGGTATAAATTAGCATCTCTGTGCCCTGGTTTCCGCATCTGTGACAGGACAGAAAACCAAGCCTGCAGGGATGCCATCAACATGAGAGACTTCAAACATAAATCTCCGCACAATGCTGGTACCTATTAACACTGCTTGTTAAGCTTTCCTTCACGCATGTGGGTAACCAGATTAACACCTACCCTATCCCGTGGGCCCCTGCAGGAAGGCGCTGCACGTCATGAGGAGAGGTAAGCCTTGAAAGGAGTTCCCACTAGCTCGGATCTGAAGCTCCAAAAGCGGTTTCTCAGACATTATTTGAGAATCTGTCAAGACTCAGAAACTACTGCCAATGCAAGACACTGGTCAGGTCATGAACTAATGTACTGAGAAGTAGTGCAAAAGGCAGAGCACTTGGGGACAGCACTCCCTAACGCTGGGGCAGAGTCTGGACTGTCACCTTTCTGACACTTTGCGCGGGGACACAGGTCAGGCTTGTAGCACTAGGCTGGCACGGAGATGTCTGTACTTTGCTAAGGAAAATGCCAGAAAACACACATGTGGTTTGGGAGGCTAGCTGCTGGAAAACAGGCCGAGGGAAGAGGACAGATATTCCTAGCTCTCCTCTACCTTTTAAAAAATTATCTTTTCTTGAAGAAATCAGACTCATGTATAAGTATACTGTCTCCCTCATGTGAGAAATTAAAGAGGTCTAAAATATATAATAGATGTCATGAGGTGGGAGAAAGAAATTCCTTAAAAGGAAAAAGGAAGTAGGATGTGGGAAAGGGAAAGGAAGAGAAAAGAATGCAAGGTACCTATGCTATTAGTGTCTCTTAGTTGAATGAAAAAAGTTTGTACTAACATCGATTGGAGAATTTTTATGCCCATATTTTGTACTTTAAATTACTTTAAAAATGACAAAATACACTGTATCAATTATTGTCATTCTATTATTTTGTTATGAAATTGTTTCCCCTTTTATGTTTTACTTTTCAATAAAGTTTTTAAGAACTTGTTTTAATTAATATGTCACATTAAACACATCTGTAGGGAAAAGCGTGACACTTCAGCACAGACATAAATAGGTTCTGACTGAACTAGAGTTCACAGGTTTCTGCCTCCTCACGTTTTATGCACGAGACTCCCAAGTCGCTCCCTCCAAGAGGGCTGTATAAAACATCTAACAAGCCATGACGAACAACGCCCCCAGAACTTACTGCCCGACTCACTTGAGTGCCCACCGCCCACCCTCCCTCTTTGTTTTCCTGCACCCTAAAGTCAATGTTCTCTCTACTACACTGAGATCCACTTTTTTTTTTCAGGTCAACTTTTTAATCTTCCCCTTTTCTTCAACATCAGGCTAACCCGGGACCTTCTATTAGCACACCACTAAAGAAACATATAAAGGATCTTGGCTCTTCCTAGAATCTGGTCTAGTAATATATACATCTAAAAGGTACAAAACAGCTAAGCATTGTGGCACATCAGCTCTAGTCATTGACGTTCTTGCCCAGATGTTCTCAGAAACCACAACAGAAATTAAGTTTTTGTCAATGAGACAAGAAATCCAGCTCTCAGTTAAAAAAACAACCCTATTTTTTGTTTTGTTGTTGCTATTCTGAGACAGGGTCTCACTACGTAGCCCAGACTGGCCTTGAACCCTGGTGATCCTCCTGCCTGAGTCTCTTAGTGCTAGAACTACAGGTGTGACCACCATGCCCAGTGGGTGAAACAAGGGGATACCTACGCTCCTACGGACCAGACTGTACAGGTGCTGCTGCGCAAGGGACCTTCTTGTACTGCGCACTTTGCCGTCCTCCTAACACTCCGTCGTCCTCTGGTGACTCTGAACCTTACACTCATGCCAATCCCTTAACGGACTGGAAATGCCCAAGCTCCCCTGGTCTACTCAGCCCATTTCCACTTGCCCTTTAGATCCTCTATTGCCTCTGTCAGACTGTATGACCCTTAAAGAAAGCAAACAACTAGGCTGTGTAGCAGCCTGCCTACCCCTACTGCCTGAATTTAAATCCTAGCTCTATTACCTGCTAAGCTTTGTTAAAGCCCTTAATACCTACTGCAAACAGGGATAACAGCACCTAACATCCTTTAATAAAATTAACTATTAAGGGGAAAGTTTAACTTCATACAAAAGAGATTCTATAAAGCTAGCCAGTTATTAACACAAAGGAAAAGAACCTCTAAATCAAGACAGACCCAACCTCAGGAGACCAGAAACGACTGCTACTCTGCTTAGAGAAGCAAAATCGCACCGATATCAAGGATGAGGGATGAACGGGACAGAGGGGAATGGGGCTGCAGAGACAGCGGAGTAACCATACTCACAATCACACAGTTCTTGCCAACGTGAACGTAAGAACCAATCTGAGCAGCATTGACCACGCAATCTTCCTCAATAAAAACATGGTCCCCAATATGTAAAGGAAAGAATGCAACACTAGAGAAGGAACAGATGAACAACAAAAGAAAAATGTCAAGGTGATATATGCTGGGTCACGATTCACAGAAGTACAGCATAAAATCTCAAGTTTATCTTTTTTTGGTTTGTTTTGCTTTTTGAGGAAGGTCTCATTACTGAGTTCAGGCTGTCGCAACTCACAATGATCCTCCTGCCTCAGACTCCTGAGTGCTAGGACTACAGATTCACACCACAAAGTTCAGCTTTCATCTGATCTTAATAAAACTGTTCCAGGCAAGGAGGGAGGGCCAGGAAGATAGCTTAGCAGTGTAAGTGCCTGCCTGGCAAGTGTAAGGTCCTGAGTTCAATCCTTGGTACCAAAAAGAAAAAAGAAGAAGAAAGAAGAAAGAAGAAGAAAGAAGAAAGAAGAAAGAAGAAAGAAGAAGAAGAAGAAGAAGAAAAGAACCCTCAGGCTTGGGCCAGACAGATAGTTCAGTGGCTTAGGCACAAAGCCCTAAGCTTGAGCCGCAGTACCAAAAAAACAATTCTCAGGCTAGAGAAAACCTATTAATATTTTGGTTTATAATTAAAACTTTATTGAAAAGCTGACAACAAAATAGATCATTGCTGTATTCCTTATACAAAATCAAATATACCTGCATTATGTTGACAGATTAACTGGAATCAGTTAAATTTATATAGATCATCAGTGTTGCTTTCCTCTAAATGAACAACTTCCTGTGGGTGTGGCCTTTCCTCCTGGAGGCTGGTACAACGCTGCTGAACACCCTAACCACTGTCTGAGCATGGCTGAACACTATGGTGATAGTACAGCAATATGGACATTTTACATCCATAAAAGAGAGAATCTAGACTTGGAACTAGCTGTTTCCTTAATGTTTTTTTTTTTTTTTTTCCCCTCCTCCTAAGAAAATACAGTAAATCTCTAGTCAAAGGCATAATGACCCTCAAAAAAACCCAGCCTGACTACCAACCCAAAATCAGAAATACTGGAAGAAAGAAACATGCAAGAAAAAGCAAGGCAGAAGGATTAGGATCTTAAAAGCAGGCATCAAATAAAAATGAATGGTATTTATTTGCACTTTTCTGCTTCCTTCACAACGCTCCCAGATCACACTTTGAGTAGTCTGCCTGTTTCACGGTGCTGACATCAGGTTCATGGGCTGTGTCTTTTATTTTATTTTTGCGGAACCGGGGATTGAACTCAGGCCCTTGCGCTTGCCAGGGAAGCGCTTATTCCACTGAGCCATCTCCCCCGCCCTGACTGTGTCTTTTAGCACCCAACATTCTTATAATTTATTCGTTGGCCATGTTTACTGAGTGCCTACTATGCACCAGTGCCGTATTCCTGTGGGGTACAATGGGAATCAACAGAAACAATCCTGCCCTGAGTTTATAATCAAGAAAAGAAGCAGATTTAGTAACTAATTATAAAATACTGTAATTAGTTACAACTGTGACAGGTGCCGAAGAGACACAATGTGAAAGTACAGTACACAGAGATCTTACCTCCATCAGGAATTGGGAGAAAATTTAATTGAAAGTGGTATTTAAGGCAAGACTTGAAGGATGAAGTGGAGCTGACAGGCTCTCTCCCCACTTCTGACATCATTCCCATTCTCCAGGATCTCCAGTGTCACATTTCCGTGGTCAAATTTACTAGTTTATAATTTTAAATCTCTGGACTGGGGCTGGGGAGGTAGCTCAGCAACTTAAGTGCCTGCCTGGCAAGCACAAGATCCTATGTTCAATCCCTGGTACCAAAAAATATAAATAAATAAATAGATCTCTGGACTGGAACAGATTTAAGGTGGGTACGAGCTCATTAGCTCTTTTCAGTGCTGTTCTGTTCTGCCAGAAATATTCTGCCAAAGGTAACATTCAAGACCCGCAACTTGCTGAAATCTGAATTCACCAGTACTTCTGGTCTGTACCCCGTGTGCAATGATAAATTCCTTGATCTTATCATAGTCTGCAGCAATACTGACAATTCTTTAATTTTAACTATAAGTCCTAGGGGCCAGGGTGATAGCTCAGTGGCATAAGCACCTGCCTGGCATGTGCAAGGTCCAGAGATCGTTCCCTGGTACTGCTAAATAAATAAATAAGGAAGGAGGGAAGGAAATAAATAACAAATCCTAAATTTTAAAGTATTACTTAACTCTGGTAGGGTATCTAGCCAGAAGTGAGCATTCATCTTCTATCTGTGTTTTTCTACTATACTGTCCTATTTCTGTGTCTATCATGTAGACTACACCAACTTGCACGTCCCTCTATGTGCCAGTAAACCCTTTGTCGCTTCCTGATGCTTCTCTTGGGCCATGCAAAGCCACTATCAGAACGTGGACTCCACAAGAGCAGCAGAATATCGTCACTATATGCCCATAAGGAGAGGGCCAGAGCTTTCTGGTTTTCCTCTCAGCTCTTCTGAGCTCAGACGTCACTATTATCCTGGGACTTATTTACATTGACTTTCTGCTCCAACCTCCACATGTGATGGAAACCTCTAGTCCAGTGTGAAGACGTGTTGTCCGCACAGGCCTGAGAGCCAAGCGCCCCAGCGGCCAAGCGCTCAGCCTTAACTGCAGAGTCGGCACTCTGTGGCCGGCAAGCGGGTTTGAGAGCTGCAGTTAGGCACTCAGTCCCAGAAGGTTCACCACCACTGCTCTAGTCCAGTGTCCCTACAGGAGAGTAGGCTTATTCCTGCGTGATAGGCTCCTAAGTGTGTCAGCTGACTTAGTTTCTCCTTTCTCTGTTCTTCCTTACTATGTTCAGAGATAGCACATTACACAGCAGCTATCACATTTAGTATCACATTATATAACAGCTATCTGTCTCTGTAACTGTTTCTACCTAGATTTTGAGACCTTTAGGACCAGAAACCCTATATTATCTGTGTTTATATGCTGAGTTTATAACCAAAAGCTGGCATAAGGAGTTCAATAAACACATGCTACGTTAACTAAATGGCAGAAATGCAGGTGGGCAATTAGCAAAGGAGGAGAGAGGCCAGGGGCCCCTACCACACAGGCATGCTGGTCAGTTTCCTCTGTTCTTGTCCTTGTTCGTCTGTCACAGGGCCTCACTACATAGTTCACGCTGGCCTTGATCCCAATTTGTAGCCCAGACTGGCTTCAAATTTGTGGCAATCCCCTGCCCCACCCGACTCTGACCCCTGAGTGCTGGAATTACAAGTGCGCACCATTATAGCCAGCCCTGTTCTGATCCTTTTATGGATTACCTTTACTCCCTCTGAGGAGTCAGAAGTCTAACTAGACTGGACCCCCAAGGCTGGCTCTTAGGCCAGGAGTAGGTACTTAGCTGAAGGTGAGCCAATGAGATTCCCTCCCAGGATTTGGAAATAAAAGAGATCTCACTGGGGTCAGTAGCACAGGCCTGTAATCCTAGCGCTCAGGATGCTGAGGCAGGAGGACTGCTGTGAGCTCAAGGCTAGCCTGGGCTACACAGCAAGACCCCGTCACAAAACAAAAGATAAGATCTCCAGTTGGTATCTTTTCAAAATATAAATGGAGAAATGCTCTAAGTACCGAATGGAAGCAGCCAGGTAGACTGTGCACAGAGGACAGAGACAGCCAATCTGAAAGACGGGAGGATGGAATGCAGAGCAAAGAATACAAGAGCCAGGACAGCCCTGCAGACAAGGGGCAGAGAACAGACACTTTGGCTGTGGCTAGCCGTCCAGCTGTAAGTCCTAGTCCTCGTGAGCCTGGCTCCTCTTCTTCCTCGGAGGCTATCAAATACGCCTGTGTACGTCAGATCAGAAGCTCCCTTGCTTTTGCCATCTGAAGTAAACTTTGTTTCTGGCACCAACAACCAACCAGATGAAGACGGCCATCACCACAGGGACGTTCATCACGGGGACACTTGCTTAGCACCAGGCACAGCGTGGCAGAGGCGCTCACTGTGCTGCACCCACACACACGGGCCGCGCTCCTGCTAGCTTCATGGCGCCTGAGACCGGAGCAAGGTAATTAAGTGACATACCCTTTGCTGAATTTCTTGAACGGTGGCCTTATAACACTGCGACTCTTCACAACACAATGGCGTCCAACTCTTACATTTGCCAGATCCCCTCGGATTATACAGTCATTCATGACGATGGTCTATAACAGAGCACAGTTTAAAAACTTACCTACACAGCCCAAAACATAATACAAAAGGATAAGACACTATTCCGCTATGATCTACTGCATCAAGTATTAAGGCGACCCTGGAGATGCCCTACACCATCAGACTGCCCCTTACTATCCTACGAACAGAGCTCAGTGTATGAAAACGTAGTGAGAATGGCTGTAACAGACGTAGCTGCGTGTCTCTTTGGCCTCATTCAGACCCACCTGCCCTTCAGGCGTTGGCTATTGGCCCCGTGACAGCCCTGGCTGCTCCCGCTCTTTTTCTCAAATCTCCTAACACTGCTGTCTCTGACTTCATGCTGCCAGAGGTGGACCCTCTCGAATCCTGGTTCATCTCCCGCCACTAGACCCAGATTAAACACCTTATGTGTGCAGTGAGACCTGGCTTCCTTCCCCAGAAACTGTGTGGAAGGGCTGAAAAATGCATCGAGAAATCTAGGGGGATTAGTGCTCCACCTCGGTAAAGAGGAGGCATTCTCAAAATACGCAAATCAACCGAACGGGATGTGTTAAGTGCACTAATCTGGATTTGCAGCTGTAAAAGTAGCCAAGACAGTAGATTATGAAGAATGGCACACACTGAGGGTAAATGTTTCTCTCTATAGAGTATCAGGACTCAATAAAATATTTTAAATAGAGAAGTAATAGAACTGAATTCTCATTTTGGAAACATTACTCTGGAAGCAGTCTGGTGTCTAAATGGAGAGGCGACAGCTGAACCTGGAGGGAGAGCAATTCTTTAAATGAGTATATGATCAAGATAGAAATAGATAACGGTCCTTATTTACTGCAATACAACTGAGATGAGAAATATAGGAGTGCCGAGTGAGGTGACACAAGCCTGTAATCCCAGTACTTGGGAGGTTGAGGCAGGAGGATCGTTGTGAGTTCAAGACGTGCCTAGGCTACAAAGTGAGCCTAAGGCCAGCCTGAACTGCATAGCAACACCATGTCTCAAAGATAAAAAAGAAAAGAAAATACACAGGAGTAAATAATCAAGCTTCTATATCCACCTGCCAATTGTAGAGAAGGGAAATAAATGCCATCGTAAACAATTCTATGTGGATGTACCCTACCAGGCTCAGGAATTAAAACTTGATAAGAATTTAATTTCTTGACAGTAATTTAATTTCTACAGTATCTAAATGTCACGAAGGAAAAGGGGTGAAGGAAAGACAACTTCTACTGATTAAAAGAGACTCAAGGACATAACAACCTAACACGATGTGTGCCTGACTCGGTCGGGATTCTGATTTGAATAAGCCAACTGCTGTGACAACACCAATGTGCCACTGGCTAAGTTTGCGCAGTAATTTTGATTCTAAGTGCCCCTGTATTTTGTTCTGACATAAAAGGAAAGATTATCTTTTATTCCCTTTAACTGATCTTTTTTGCATTTGATAAATCCAATTCGGAGAAGAAAAAGAGAGAACTGGAACGGAGCAATCAATAGCAGACACAGCATTTGATTGACCCTGCTAGCTGAGGATTCCCCGGAAGCAGGCAAAGGTGTGCACATCCTGGAGCTGTCTTTGTCCCTTACCTTGCCATTCAGCACAATGTTCTGGCTTCCACACAACACTGACTGGCGACTGACTTTATTCCCAGATGCCTAAAAAGGAACAGCAGAAAACTGAGTGGACTTTGGGGCTAAACTGTCCATAAAGAAAACTTGAAATAGAGAAGAACTGGAATAGAATGTGATCTAAGACGGATTTCTGAAAGCAGGGATGCAAATTAAAGATTCAGGAGTGGATTCAGACTTAGCGTGTGGCGGGCTAGCACGATAGCTCAGTGGAGTGAGTGCCTGCTTAGGCAAGTGCAGGGGCCTGGGTTCGATCCCAGGCACCACGTGCCACGCCAGCCCGGCCCCCGGTGGAGCCGGTGACCGAATGGAGGCATGGTGTCGCACGCCTTAATCCCAGCCCTGGGGAGGCTGAAAACAGGACAGTGCTGCGTAGTGAGACCTTGTACCAAATACATAAAAAGAAAGAAAGAAGAATTGTGTGTGGTAACTCCATAGCTTAAGCGGCATCAGGCAGAGATGTGAATTCAAGTCCCGGTTCCCTTTTTCAAATTAATACCCTAAACTGTGGATAATGGCACTACCATTATTATAAAGTTGTGAGAATGGGAAGAAAAAACAAAAATGAGTCTGGGCACTTGCTGCTATTGGCGTTTTATCACACATTTCAAGCGCTTACTATGTACAGAACTTGACAGTTTTCAGCACGTTAATAGATAACAGAACATTAATTTTACAAAAAATGTTTACATAGGCCCGCAGCTTGAAGATGTGCTTTTCGTAACAGATAATTTAATAATACGGACGTAATTCAATATTAGGATAGCGAGGGCTTTCCTTGCGTTCAGAAGGCACTTTATCCCCACGAGAGAATCAGAAATACACATTTAAAAGCCTGCGGCGGCCCTGCACGACTGGACGACGAAACGCGACGATCGCCCAAGCGTCCCCAGCAATCCCCGACCACGGCCCAGGGCACCCGGCGGGAGGGCGGGGACGCGCGGGCTGCGGGCCGGGGCCGGCGCTCGCTCGGAGGCGAAGGCCGGCCGTCCGCACACACGCACCGTCTCGATGTACTCCGACTTGTTGTAGAGCAGCTCGCCCAGCTCCATGGCCGCCGGCGCCTCGCCGCTCCTCAGGACCCCGTCACAGAGCGGACCGCCGAGCGCCCGGCTACTTCCGGCTGCGCCTCCAACTTCCGCTGTCGAGGCTCGGCCCAATCGACAGCTCGGCTCTCCTCTGGCCAGCCTGCGCCTTGGGTCTGCCGGCGCCGACTGCGCGTGCGCGAACGCGGCGGCGGCTCTAATTGGCCGAGGCGGATGGCGCGTCTGGCCCGCGTGAGCCGTCCGGTCGCGTTCGGAGGGCTTCCCGGGCTCGCCGCTCCTCCCGGGTTGCTTCCAGGGCTGCCGGGTGTCCGTGTCCGCAGGTCCAGGGCTGCCGACTGCTGCGCTTTGCGTTCGGCCCCCATCCCGATGGAGGAACCTCCCTGGAAGCCCCTCAGCTGCGCGGAGAAGGAAAAGGTGCCGAGCGCGGGCGGCCTGGGCAGGGCGACCCCGTCTGGGCTGCAGGACCCCGCCTGGGCAGCGAGACCCAGTCTGGGCAGCGGGACCCCGCCTGGGCAGCGCGACCCCGCCTGGGCAGCGCGACCCCGCCTGGGCAGCGCGACCCCGTCTGGGTATTACGACCCCGTCTGGGTATTACGACCCCGTCTGGGCAGCGGGACCCCGCCTGGGCAGCGCGACCCCGTCTGGGCAGCGCGACCCCGCCTGGGCAGCGCGACCCCGCCTGGGCAGCGCGACCCCGCCTGGGTATTGCGACCCCGTCTGGGCAGCGCGACCCCGCCTGGGTATTACGACCCCGTCTGGGCAGCGGGACCCGCCTGGATATTGCGACCCCGCCTGGGCAGCGCGACCCCGCCTGGGCAGCGGGACCCCGTCTGGGCAGCGCGACCCCGTCTGGGTATTACGACCCCGTCTGGG